TCACTCACTCACTCACTCACTCACTCACTCACTCACTCACTCACTCACTCACTCACTCACTCACTCACTCACTCACTCACTCACTCACTCACTCACTCTCACCGCCCCGCCCCGCGCCCCGCCCCGCCCCGCCCCGCCCCGCCCCGCCCCCCGCCCCGCCCGCCCGCCCCGCCCGCGCGCCGCCCCGCCCGCCCGCCCCGCCCCGCCCCCCTGCCCGCCCCCCCGCCCCGCCAACCAACGCAAACGCAACGCAACGCAACGCAACTAACCCACCCACCCACCCACCCACCCACCCACCCAAGTCAAATCAATCCAGCCGAACAGCCAAGCAAGCAGGTAAGCAAGTATGCAAGCAGCCAGGCAAGGTTGCCAGCTTTGGTTGAGTTGCAGAACACGTCAGACGGCGGAACAAATGATGGGGTGAGGGACACAGAACAGGGAGTTCTACTCTACCGTTCAGTTGGCCCGGTTTTGTTCGTCCATTGCATCAGACAAGTCCGGGCAGATTCTACAGATTTTGGGCGACCATGTGGAACAAGACTCTTTTCCATTTGACACTAGAGATGTTACCATTGGCACCAATCGGTTCCATGGAATCCTATTTTCCAGCTATTCCTCGTGGAAGCCTGAAACAAAAGGCAAACATGTTTGGAGGAAGCTGCCATTGGCAGTACACACTCTTGGGTTTGCATGCTGCCAACCATTTTCCCAACGGCTGCACGAAGGGTTCTTGATAGGGGTTGGTCATGGTTGATTTCGAAGAATGCAGCCCGATTCAGCCGGCATTTGTATAGAGGGCAATTTGTCTTGCGAGTCGTTGAACAAAGCCCGCAGCGCCCTGTCTCTGAAGACTTTTTTGTGGCCTTGCATTTACTTAGGTCACCCGGGTAAAGGTCGTCGTTTCCACACATGTTTTTCTGAAACAGACGTCTGTTGGGAATGATGGTTTCAATACTGCGGACTTAATGCGTGCACATCCGACGCACATCCGACTGAACAGCATCATCCGTTGAATGTCAGAGAGCCCCGTTTATTTCAGGACGCACGCAGAAACTTATTGTGGAGTGTGCTGCAAACACTTGTGGGGGTCTAATGCGAAACACAACCACATTTGCCGCCGAGCGCCTTTTCGCTTCCCTCGCCAAGGTGATTACAATCTTTGCCATTCTAAATGTGGCAGCTTGGCATTTGACGTGGCAGATCATGAAGTGCAGGGGGTTGGATGCCCTCGCGATTGCAAGTAGGAACGCAAGACAACACCCGAGTTCACCCTAAGATTCTTGGCTTTGTGGGTGGCCAGCTGGACCCTGAAAAATCCAACTAAGAACTGGGTTGTTGCCCCAAAGTGTTGCTTGGTGAATTCCCGTGTGGTCGGTTTACTTTCAAGGTTTCAGGGCTCTAGGGGTTGATTGCCCATTCTTTTCAACCACTGTTCTTTCATAAAACCGGTCGTTTTTTCTGGCTTTCCGGAGGTTTCCTAGAAAGAAGGATCCCTGGAAAGAATGGGGAAGGTAATCCTAGAAGGGCATCCGTATCTGTTTTTGCAACACCTTCTTCTTGGTCGACAGTGCAGCCCGCTGCGCCCTGGCCGGGACCAACTTATTTCTCCAGTCAGGACTCTGAAGCCAGACACCGGGATGGGGGTTCGACAGGGCCGCTGGGACCAGACAGCTCCTGGCCCCGTCTTCATAACAACTTCTTTTATGTATATATACATAAATATGTGCATATATACACATGTACATGTATGTGTATGTATTATATGAATTTATGGGTGTTTCTCAAAGTTGGGGACCACTCCAGATAGCTGATTTTATTTTGATTTCCCTTCAACACCAATCCAACAAGGGGTCCCTTATTGTGAGAAACCTCTACATATGTATATATGTGCGGCCGAGGTTAACGCAGTAAAGCACAGTACTACCACCCCACCAAAGCGCGCAGAACCGTTCTGCAACAAAAATGGAGTAAGCCCTGATAAAATCACTGACAGTATCAGGGTCCTTGGTTACAGCTTTGCGGGAGCCAAAGCCAGAAAGGCTGATGCGCATGAATCTCAACAACTCCATCAGGCCACGATGAAAGCCGAAAAGTGTAAATGCTTTCCAGGTGGATTGGCCCGCAGGATTAGGATCGCAGCAGCGGTCGTGGCACCCAAAATGATTGCAGGCTGGCTTTTCAGGTTCCCTTCGCTCGAAAATGTTAAGCCTCTCAATGCTGCCACACGAACGCTCTTACGGATGGCCCAGCAATCTGACCCGTCTTTGTTCCGCATTCGGCAGGGGCGTCGACATTTCCACAGCAAGGAAGCGATGCCGCGCATGTTGCGCGAAAGTTGGCAAGTAGTGCTCTACAACAAGTGGCGGGATAGTGCTAGGCGTGATGCTCACTCAGACACGCGGCGGCGGCCTGCAAGATGGGCCCTGTACTCGGCGCATCACATCGCCGCATTAACTGGAGCCGCAGTGAGCCCTCTTGTTATTGCCGAATGGCGCAAGGAAAACTTGAAAGTGAGCCTTTCCACATTGTGGCCTCTCTGCCGACCGCGCACATTGGTTGCACATCACGTGGCAATGCGGACGCGCTAATCGTGTCTCCAGTCTGAGAGAAGGAGACTGCTTTGATATTCTACAAAAGCGGCTTAGCTGGCCCACTGGCCATAGCCGGCATTCGCTCGACACGAAGATCCTTGATTGGCTTGCCCAATGTAGGGAACGGATACCCAACCAACGGCGTCCAAGAAGTGAGTAAATGGCTTGCTAACCCTTTACGCATGGCGTGTGCAATTTTGACTTGCTTAGCTCACGTGCGTGTGGTACATTGCAACTAGCAGGGTGCACCTTGCGTGCCTCTTGTTTCTGCAGGTGTGCCAGCATGGCGGCTGTTTGGTCCCGCTTTGGTGAGTGGCTGCTGCCGCGATCTGTGCGCTGTGTTTTTTGGCGCGACCGAGGTTACTGGCGTGTTCTGCAACACCGCCATAGAATCCGCGGGGGCAGACAAGGCCAGAAGAGCGTCGAAGTGTGACGTGTCAACCTTCCTCGTTTTGGTTTTCAAGAAGCGACTGTGGCGGCCAGCTTCAAGCAAATGTTTGGGCCGCCATGTCGCGCAGGAGATTGCGATCATGAAGCAAATGAAAAAGCAGGACGCCCAGATGGAGACGCTCAGAGATGCTCGCCAGCATTGCAAGCGCCTGTCCAAAATCGACAACGGGGTTTTGTCAGAATACAGGTTGTTCTTCACGTTGTAATTATTCCTTTTGTTTCCTCTTGATATGAGTTTGCAGATGAACAAACTTTCTTCCCGTTTCATGACTCACTTGGTTCTCGCCTGCCATGTGTTGCTTGTTTTCTTTTTCAACATGATGTTTTACATGTATATCATCTATGTGTGTTCTAATTGTCTTACGGACTTGTAATGATACGACTAACCAATATTTTGTTTTCTCATTAAGCTTGTCATTTTTTGATAACCATCCCTTGATTACTCGCATTGTTATGAGATACCTTGTGTGTATCGTGTCGAGTTGCGCGCATTCTGCCCAGGAGATTTTCACAGAGATCGACATCGACTGCTCAAATCAGATCAGCCTGGCTGAACTTAAGGCAGGTCATCTCAGAACGGCTTGGCCCATTGGCTTGCCAGTGTTGGAGGGGAAGCGCAGCCCAAATTCCAGCGAAAATTGCCAGGCACTGGCCAGGGTCACTATTTTGACTTGTTGTGTGTGTGTGTGTTATCAAAGTCAGAAAATTGGGCTGTTTCCCTTATCCACCAGTTAGGGGGTGACTTTGATCGTGGTACAATAATGGGGCCAACTGGCTGTTGAAGTTTCAAGTCCAAATCGACCTGTCAGGCGCCCTTTGCCATTCTTTTGCATCAGTCAGAAGATGGGCTGCAAGTGGGGGGCGCCGCTTCCCCCGACAGAAGTGGCCGAGGTAGCATCCTTTTTAGAAGATGGCGCGTTTACTTCCATCTATTTTTCCACGCGAACATGGGTATGGGCCAAAATTCGTCACCAGGAGTTGAACCACTACTTTGCACGTCCTTTCCATTTCGGGCAAGTTCCATTCCCCCTCAATAAACAACTGGGAGGCTTCCATGTTAGTTTCCCAACGATTTTTGACCACAGCTCAGTTCGTCGATCTGGAGCCGCCCGAACCCTTTACCGAGCAAATAGGAACCACCGCCTAATCAATGCGCCCAAGAGAGGCCCAGCCACACATCCTCGGCCCAGCGCCCGCCCTCCGCCGCTTCGATCCGACGCTTCCGCGTCAGGAGGCGCTGAAGGCCCCGAAGCTGCGGAGCTTCATGAGCTCTCTGCAGATCTCCACCGAGGCGCTTGGCGCGTTCGGATTTCTTGGAGGTGTCGGAGGTTGGGGCTTTTTTTTTTCCCTCGGTTGGAGGATCACCGGCTTCTCTTTTTATGGCAAACATAGGGGGGTAAAACAAGCTATGGATATTTACATGCTTTACATGGAGAGTCATTTTTTTCTCTCGGGTTTTGGTCAGATAGTAAAACTTGCAGATGTGATTGTTCCCGTGGCTTTTGTTGCTTTTGAGGCCCCTTCCAGGGTTCCTTGCCCCCATAGGAAGAATGGCAAGGACCCATTTGGATGACAAAGGTCGACAATGGTGGTTATTGGTGGTTGTATGAACCACTTTTTTTGATGGTGGTTCGAACCCTAGGGTTAAACGGATGCCAGCAAAAGTTGGAAGCAGTTGGACAAATTGCGGCCATGTTTCGGACCCGAGCGAAGGGGTGAGCACCTGCGTTGGAAGTTTTGGATCTGGGTGTCTGTTTTTGTTTTTGGCTTGTTTTGCCTAATAGCGGAAAGCTTTGGGTCTCTGCCCAAACAAGTTCTGTGGTGTTGAGGGAGGTTCGAGGGGGTTACGAGAGTTGCTGTCGGGGATGCCAGCTGAACTTGTTTTTTGGCTTACAAGCTGGGGGAAACAAAAAGCAGATGTCAAGTTGTGCCTTTGTCTTGCAAGAATCAGGGGGGTGG